ACATGAATGTTTGCACTCATCCATAAACATTATTAGTGCAAATCCCATCATTCAGCTCGTCACTGCGTCATCAACCTACGCCTGTGTTATTGCTGGAAACTGCGCCCTCTTGTGACAAAAACCCTACATATTGTCCCTTTAAACAAGTCTTTGGATATATTTAATATTTAATCGCATGAATAGTGTTGGTTAGAGCGTTTACTTCCTTTGTATTTTTTTTAACCATTTCTTTATTTGTGATAAATAGCATACTACAATTACGGAGTCAAATAGTAGTTTAAATTACTTTCTTTTTCAGGTTTACTTTATCAAGTTTGAAATATGTCTGTAATATTATTTCATGTCAAGTCCGATTTATTTATGCAGATCTGTATGCAATGCAGATTTATTTTTAGCAGCATCAGGTTTTGTTTGTTTGTGTGAACAAGCCTTAAATCTGGACACAGATCTTTGTTGGTGACTCATCCTGCTTTTTAGCTTTTTCTCATTTCTGAAAGTTTGGCAAATCAGCCACAGCTCGAAATAAAAGACAAATGAAATGTGAATCATACACAGTCGTGTCTAGCATTCATGTGGCAAGCCGCTGAGAGTGAACAGTACACTCACACCTCTTACACTAACCTTCCCCTAAACCTACTCATCACACACACACAACCCGTTTCGCCTCTCATCTCTGCGTATGTGTGTGTGTTTGTGAGTATGTGTGTGTGATGGGTAGATTTAGGTGTCGGCTTAGTGTGAGTGTGTGTGTGTGTGTTTGTGATGGGTAGGTTTAGGGGAAGGTTAGTGTAAGAGGAGATATTATACAGTTTGTACAGTATAAAACCATTATTGTGTCTATGTGTGTGTGTGTGTGGGGAGGGGGGAGGGGGGAATGTGTGTCTCTGGAGAAGAACCGCACAAGCAAATCAAATCTGACCTTACAGAGAAGAACTAAAGAACTCAAGGCTGCAGTTTCTGCTTTGATGGATCACTGTCCTTCAGTTCATCTCTCTTTCTCTCTCTCTCTCACACACACACACACACACACACAGTGATCAGCCTCCATACACGCACACACACTTGCACAGGCACACAGTGATCGGCCTCCATACACGCAAACGCACACAGAGATTGACCTCCATACACACACTCACACGTCTTTAGCAGAACCACATCAGATGATGCTCAGCTCTCTCCAGGACGTCAGACAGCACTGTGTGTGTGTGTGTGTGTGTGTGTGTGAACGTGTATTATTTATTAGCATCCCACTGCTTGAGTACAAGCCTCTCTTTCTGAGAGCATCACACACACCCAGCGTGTTCTCAGTGAAACTCTCTCGCTGTGACCCGTCAGCCTCATGAGCACAATGTATTCCTGAGACCCTCTCTCTCGTGTGTGTGTGTGCTGCCTCGTCACTGAGCTGTAAGTAGGGCAGGGCTGTAGTGTACACATGTGCACTCGTCTCCTTCACGCAGAGCTCTGCTGAGCAGAGATGGACTACGCTCCCTCCACTAGTGCTGAAATAACATGAAGTATGAGCAGTTTTCAAGTGCACACGGGCATCCATAACCCAGAAGCAGCCAGCGCTCTTACACACACACACACACACACACACACACACAGCGATGCCTCAAATGCTGAGCTAACATAGAAGCATGCGGCAGATGCCCTTAAAGAAGCATCTTTAACTAGAAAAAAAAGTTTGATGAGACAAACTTTAAGTTGGCTTGAGAAAGCCAGACCAGAGAGTTTGAATAAGTTTAAAGTAGTTTGAAGTTTGATAGATGGATTAGTTAGAAAGAAAGAATAATTAGAAAGATAGATAAATAATAGATTGATAGAAAGATTAGTTTCAATGAAAGAAAGATTAGGTAGAAAGAAAGAAAGATTAGGTAGAAAGAAAGAAAGAAAGGTAGAAAGGTAGAAAGAAAGAAAGATTAGTTAGAAAGAAAGATTAGGTAGAAAGAAAGATAGATTGATAAGTTAAAAAAGATAGATAGATAGATAGGATTAGTTAGAAAGAAAGAAATAAAGAAAGGATTAATTAGAAAGAAAGATGGATTTGTTAGAAAGAAATAAAGGATTAGTTAGAAAGAAAGATAGATAGATTAGTTAGAAAGAAAGAAAGATAGATAGATTGATTTGTTCGAAAGAAAGATAAATCAGTTAGAAAAAAGAAAGATTAGTTAGAAAGAAAAAAGATAGATTAGTTAGAAAGAAAGATAGATTAGTTAGAAAGACAGATAGATTAGTTAGTTAGAAAGAAAGATTAGTTAGAAAGAAAGATAGATTAGTTAGAAAGAAAGATTAGTTAGAAAGATAGATGGATTAGTTAAAAAGAAAGAAAGATAGATTAGTTAGAAAGACAGATAGATTAGTTAGTTAGAAAGAAAGATTAGTTAGAAAGAAAGATTAGTTAGAAAGAAAGATAGATTAGTTAGAAAGAAAGAAAGAAATATTAGTTAGAAAGAAAGAAAGATTAGTTAGAAAGAAAGAAAGATAGATTAGTTAGAAAGATAGTATAGTTAGAAAGAAAGATAGATTAGTTAGAAAGAAAGATAGATTAGTTAGAACGAAAGATTAGTTAGAAAGAGAGAAAGAAACATTAGTTATAAAGATAGTATAGTTAGAAAGACAGATTAGTTAGAAAGAAAGAAAGAAAGAAAGAAAGAAAGATCAGTTAGAAAGAAAGAAAGATAGATAAGTTAGAAAGAAAGAAAATTAGTTAGGAAGAAAGAAAGATAGATTAGTTAGAAAGACAGATAAATTGGTTAGAAAAAAAGATTTCAGAATCAGAATCAGTCTAAAAAGATATAGCACACTAAGTCAGAACAGTCTGAAGGTCTGACCCGAGTTTGGAGTTTGTAGAGTTAAAGCTCTAGGACGAGTTAGATATAGGCATTTCTTCGTAAGAAGAAGAATAATACGTTTAAAAAAGGATTTCAGTAAGTTGACTTTTTCAAGCCAACTTAATAATCTCGCGAACCGTCTTCCATCATAACGATTCCATGGAACTTAAACATTCCAATAAGCAAACAAGAAATACACGTATATTGTGAAGAATAAACAAATAATTACAACTAAATACAAAATGATCACAACTAGATATTTGCAGCGTGAAAGTCAAGTGATTTCTATAAGCTTCTCTACATCACACATTTACAATGATTGAAATACAGCATGTGAAATGACAAGAATCTACACAATACCTTATATTGTGACATGATATGTTGTTGCATCCCTATATCGCAACAATCTGTATTGTGTAGTTCACCCAAAATAAGAATTACGGTTTGAGAAAAAAAGCCAAGTTTTGAGAGTTTCAGGCCGTGTGTCCACCAAAGCGTTTTTCCACGCGCCTGGCGTATGTTTTCAATTGTTTTCAATGGGAGCGCCGCGTTTTTTTTTTAAACGCCATGAACGTACCGAGGCGCTGAGCGTTTTCTTTCACGCTGAAGCGCCCGGCATTTTTACTGGTCGCTGGGAGTTGAAAAATGTTCAACTTTGGATAAAACGCAGCGCTCATCACTGTCACTTTTTACCCAGCCGTCCAACCACAGTGGAGGAGGGGCGGGACTAATACCACACCGACCAGACCAACTGTCAACATTCAAACTGCTGCGGATATTCCGTATCATAGCAACGCAACGCTGCGCTGCCAAAACGCTCTCAAGCGCCCAAAGCACGGCGTCTTCAGCGATTGGCTAGCGTGTTCAGCTGAAAAAAAAACGCTTTGGTGGACACACGGCCAGTGTCAGTACTACATTAAACTACTATATATAACGTTAGATATAATGTATAATAGTGCAATGGGGGAATATCTGTGTCCTGATAATGCCAAACGTCTGATGTTAGCAGTAAAAGTGTCCTATATCTAGTCTGTGACTAAAATAATTCAGTGTTTTCATCTCCAGAATCATGAATATTGTTATTCTGGAGTCTCTAGCTCCAGCACTGAGTCCTCTTCACACACACACACACAATCTAACACAAATCTAGCATTTAAATCAACATTTCATCATTTGTCTTGGAGTATGGCAGTTATATGGTATTGTGAGTTCAGTGTGTTGAATCGTGACATGAGGGTCTCGCTGCACCCCCCACCACAGACTTGCTACCGCTCTATAACTCTGATCTATAAACAGATGCATCACATGATATTATCTATATAATAGATCAGTGTTTCACATCGAGACGCCCCTTCCAGCGTCACAACCCGGTGACTCGTGAATCATCTACGGTCATGAACACACACACTGTTTTCCACAACACTTGTCCTCACACACTTGTAGCCGAAGTGTAATTTCTCTGACGGATTGACAGCTGACTTTCACAGAGCAACAACGGCATCCATCCGGAGGAACACCTCGACCATCAGCCGGATTCCAGACCAGTGCCTTCACATCTGACTGTGTTCGAGACACACACCCCGAGCACATGACGGGTGTAACACACACACCTGAAGATCCCGATTAGAGCAGAGTCCTCTGATGACTAACATGCTTCACACACACACACACACACACCTGAAGATCCCAATCAGAGCAAAGTCCTCTGATGACCATGCTTCACACACACACACACACACGCCTTCACGAGCACTGCAGAGAGAGACGGTCTGCATGAAAGAAAAGAGCGCTCCTCGCGGACACACGGCATTCTGGGTCGCGTCTGCGGGAGGAAACGGGAACACGGACACTTACTGAGCTTGTCCTGCGGTCGGGAGAGCGGGAAGCAGCACAACTGCCCCATGATCCTCTGCGATCCGTGTTCACGAGCAGGAGCGCGGAGACCCAGCCATGCTGAGAGAGAGGCAGAGAGCGTGTGACTGATATTATGCTAGTGTGTGTGCGTGTGTGTGTGTGTGTGCGGAGGGGGCTGGTGGGAGATTGGACGATTGTAGCTCCGCCTCCATCCTCATCATGCCAGCCTGAATAATTGCTCTGGAACGGATAGAGGCTTATTGCTATGTGTGTGTGTGTGTGTGTGTGTGTGTGTGTGTTTGTGTGTTTGTGTGCTTAGTGAACTAGAACAGACCTTTAAACATGCATCAGGCTGCTGCTCACTCAACCAGAATCCAGGGCAAGAGATTTCTGCTCAAATAAACACAGCAGTGTGCGTGTGTGTGTGTTTGCACTTGCTTCATTAAATCACAATTTAATCTGACATCAAATGCTCTGACAATTAAATTACTCATATTACATTTGACAGTGACCATAATCCACTACATTACTAATTAGACAACGACACAAAATGGCAACTAATTGGGTTTTACGATTCATTAACAATACTGGTACTTTCAACAAAGAGCCTGTGAGAGTCATTTGGAGCAAAGATCAGCTACAGGATACACCCTGACACACTAACACACACACACTTGTCTGGTTTACTATCTTTGTGAGGACTCTCCATAGACGTAACGGTTTTTATACAGTACAAACTGTATATTTCATCCCCTTACACTAAACCTACTCATCACACACACACACTAACCCTCCTCTACAGCTACCTATCACAGGAAACATTCTGCATTTTTACATTAAAAAAAACTAATTCTGTATGATTTATAAGTGTGTTTACCCATGAGGACTCAATCTAGGTCCCCACAGTGACACGAGGCCCCATGAGTCTGTGTGCCTTCAGGTTTAAGTCCCCACCGGGATAGAAAAATATCTACACACACACACACACACTACCTCTCTCTCTTTTACACACACACATACACAAATGTTTACTTGGCTAAAATCATTTAAATGGAGACGTTGGATAGATTTGTGTTGTTTTTACACACAGATACTCATACACTAGTGGTACAGTGTGAAGACTGAGGACTAAATGGGATCGTTCGCCCAGAATCCTCCATCATCACGAGCAACAGCAGAAGAGAGACGCCTCAGTGTGGTCACTCGTATACAATGGAAGTCAATGGTGACCAAAACGGCTGGGCTGCTATTGATCTTCTAAACACTCCGGTGTCCCACGCAAGAGACAAGCGGCACGGGTCTGGAGGACTAGGGCGAGTGAAGGAAGATGATCTTCTCATGTGGGTGAACTGACTCTCGAGAACGAATCTCGTCTGCAGCTGTGTGCTGGTCACCTCCGCCGGTCACATCGATCCTCCAGTGCGCATGAACACACGCCTCGGACTCCTGCGATCACTGACTAATGACATGCACGTTCTTACATAACCAGTCCACAGGCCAAACTTTATGAAGCCGAAGTCCAAACAGAGAGCTGTTTATGATGGATCATCAAGTTGTTCTGGATCTCACACTGTTAATGCAGTTTAGGGTTTTCTGTACATTTTGTTTGTGTTTTAGATTCTCTTTGTAATGAATACCAGGACTGTCACAATTATCACGATTAAATCGCATCCAAAATAAAAGTTTGTGTTACATGATATGTGCGTAATTATTTTGTATATATAAACACACACATACGCGTGTATACATGTAAGAAATATTTATAGCGCAAGGAGGAAGAAAGTGGACTAAGGCCCTATAATTTCCGCGATCACGGACTCGCGGACGGAATCGCGGAATTGGCCAATTAACGCGGAATCTAGTGTTAACGCGGAATTTCGTGGAATTTTACATATTTGGAATGAAATTGGGTTTTTGTGTGGGAGAAGAACGTATGTCTGGGGAAATGCAGAGAGACGGGGAAGCAAATCTGGGCGACACAACCCCTCCCATCATTTCAGCTCATGACGGCATAAAAACAATAGCCGGCTTTTTTACTAAAAGCATGGCGAAGCGGCTCTCCACGGCTCTGCTTTCGTCGGCGAAAAAGTTAAGAAACTCGTCGCACACACACACACAAAGTACCCTCCGTGCACGTCTGTCTATGAGGTGCCGGGCCGAGTGTGTGCCCGAGTCGAGAGCGCGCGAGAGAGACGAGACAGCACACTCAACAGTGCGTGCGAGAGAGACCGGTTTGTCCGAGAGAGCGCTCGACAGTACGCACGAGAGAGACCGAGTGTGTACGTGAGAGCACGCGAGAGAGACCGAGTGTGTCCGAGAGAGCGCTCGACTTTAAAAAAAAAATTAATTTTGGGAAATTTGGGTAAAAATAAAACGAAAATTTGGGAAAAAATAAAACGGATTTTATAGGGCCCTAGTGGAGCAACAGACAGAGCCAGTGCTAAGCACTGATCCTGGTGAGTCGGAGGAGGAGCAGGAACCGGAGTCACCCCACAGTGTCCAGAACCTCCATGCTCGCCTAGCAAACCATCAGAACATCGCCGGGTTTTATGGCCTGCTGCAAACAAGGAGGCCGAGTGGCGGTGGTTTGACGAGGCTACTCTAGATGCATCAAGCAGAAGAGAAGTTGATCAGCGATTGCAGTGGATGAGCAATCTAATAATCAGCATCGGTGCAGAGAGATTCAGAGGCTCAGAACAGCGCCAGGCCAAACCTGCATTAGAACAAGATCTCCCAGCTCGGGAAAGACCTGAAGGCCCTAAAGCGACAGAATAAGAGGGCGAGCGAGGAGGAAAAGCCAGCCCTGACAGAGCTCCGGGTCAGAAACTTATATCTCTACAGCGAGCTGAGAGGCACAGGAGGAGAGGCAGAGAGAGAGAGAGCAAGCGTAAATCCCTTTGTTGCAAATCCCTTTAGCTTTACTAAGCAGTTGCTGGGGGAGAAGCGGAGTGGGACCCTGTGATGCCCAAACGAGGAGATCAATCAGTACCTCAGTGACAAATACAGCAATCTCATGAGAGAGGAGAATCTGCCCACCTGTAGAGAGCTACCCACACCACCAGAACCCTCTTTCTAGTTTAACATCAAGGAGACCACCTTGGCAGAAGTCAGGAACATTGTACGAGTCGCACGTAATAGCACAGCTCCAGGCCCAAGTGGAGTGCCATACAAGGTCTATAAACATTATCAGAGACTCCTGGAGAGGCTGTGGAGACTCATCAGGGTAGTATGGCGGTGGGGAAAGGTGGCGCAGCAATGGCGTCATGCAGAGGGTGTTTGGATACCAAAGGAGGAGAACGCGAGTGATATTGACATTCCTACATTGACACCTCGGTGAAGAAGGGCGGAGTCCCAGGCATGCCGGGCTGTCTAGAACACACAGGAGTGATCACTCCGCTAATCCGAGAGGCGAGAGAAAATTGAGGAGACCTGGCAGTGTTCTGGCTTGACTTGGCCGACGCCTACGGATCGATTCCACACAAGCTGGTGACAACAGCTCTGACGATACAATACATTCCTGAGAAGATCACTGATCTCATAAGAGACTACTACAGCAGTTTCAGCCTGAGATGCACCTCAGGAACAGTAACATCTGCGTGGCACCACCTAGAGAAGGGCATTATCACAGGCTGCACCATATCGGTGGTATTGTTTGACCTAGCGATGACCATGCAGGTCAAGGCTGCTGAGGGGGAATGTAGGGGCCCCCTGTCCAGATCCGGCATTCGCCAACCGCCAATTTGAGCCTACATGGACGATCTGAAGTTCAGATCCTTGGTCCTGAGAAAGGGGAGAGTGGAAGACAAACACCATTTTTATGTGGATGGGATCACTATTCCAACAGTGTCAGAGAAGCCCATGAAGAGCCTAGGGAAGATCTTCGAGAGACAAGGCAGAGGTGGAAGCAGCCCACACGGAGCTGAAGACGTGGCTATCAGTGGTGGACAAGTCCGGTCTCCCGGGGAAGGTCAAGGCATGGATATATCAGCATGATATCCTGCCAAGAATCCTGTGGCCACTACTGATTTACAAAGTCCCAGTATCCCTTGTGGAGGGCTTTGAACATAACATCAGCCAATACCGGTGGAGATGGCTGGGTCTGCCGAAGAGCCTGAACAGCATTGCTCTGTATGGTGCAGGGAGAGATTTGTGATGAGGTGGAGGAGGAACATCTTAGTAGGACTGTGGCAATGCACCAACAAGGAGCCTGGCCCAATTGGAATCATGCAGTTGCCGGAAGATGACCTGGACAAAACTATGGAAGTCTGAACCCGCAAAACTTAAGTTCTTGATCCAGTCGGTGTATGATGTGTTCCCAAGCCCATCTAACCTTCTATCTGGGGCTTAGCAGAAATACCAACATGCCTTCTGTGCCCGGCTCGTGGTTCCCCTGGAGCACGTCCTAAGTTGCTGTCCTAAAGCACTAGGAGAGGGGAAGTACACTTGGCACCATAACCAGGTGCTGAAGGTAGTAGCGGACACCATCTGCACTGCAATCCGGGAGTCTAAACATCAAGTCCCAGTGACGCACAACATCTCCTTTGTCAGGGCAGGGGAGAAACCTCAGGGAGAACGCAAGGCCTCATCAGGACTGCTAGCCATGGCCTGTGACTGGCAGTTGTATGCAGACCTTGGGACGCAGTTAAAGTTCCCAGAGCACATAGCGATGACATCACTGAGGCCAGATCTGGTCTTAACATCTGACTCAACAAAGCAGGTTGTGCCAATGGAGCTTACTGTCCCCTGGGAGGACATGATGGAGGAGGCCTTCGAAAAGAAGAAGGCCAAATATCTTGAGCTGGTTGAGCCATGCAAAGGGAGAGGATGGAGGGCCTGCTGTGAGCCAATAGAAGGGGGCTGCAGGGGCTTTCTAAGTCAATCAGTGCATCGGGCATTCAGGCTCTTTGGCATCAGAGGGTTGGGAGGAAGAGGAGCCACTAAAAACATCAGTGAGGCCACTAAAAAAGCCTCAAGGTGAGGGTGTCTGAAGATCAAAGACCCGAAACACCCTGTGACCCTGGGTCCTACACTGAAGATGTGTCCAAGCTGCACCTTTAAGGTGTTTCAAAATCTATATTTATACATAATTTATATTATATTATTATATAAATATAATATAATTTGGCATTTGGTCAAATGTAATTTTATGATGCGCTTTATGATGTGCTTATGTTGTGTTTACGTTGGTTGGTGTATTTATGTATTTCATATTTTTTGAACTGACTGTACAGCACTTTGGTCAGCAGTGGCTGTTTTAAACGTGCTTTATAGGGCTGGGCGATATATCGAATATGTACGATGTATCGTTATATTTTTTGAAACGATATGGAATGAGGCAATACCGTTTATATCGATACAGTAGTTTGATATGAGCACATCTGAAAAATAGC